AGGAGGACGAGGAGGAGGAGGACGAGGAGGAGGTAGGAGGAGGAGGAGGAGGAGGAGGAGGAGGAGGAGGAGGAGGAGGAGGAGGAGGAGGAGGTACTTCCCATATGTTGTAAACGGCACGCCCACCCATCCGCGTAAACGCTGCAGACTGTGAGGAGAAACGTGCGCGGTGCGATGGCGAAAGCCACACCCTGAAAAAACGCGCGAAGGCGCGGCTTTCACGCGGAAAACCTGCTTTGAGAACCACCTGTGCCCCACCCGGGGCAATCGTCGCGGCGACACCCACGTACTTTCTAGATTGCAGTACCCATCAGGATTGAGGACATCTGTAGTAAGAGGTGTAGCTCTCGCCTCGGCAACGCGAACTACCGTTCTACACGCTTGCGCTGGCTGCGCGGGTGGAGAGTAGACCATGCTCAGAATCCTGTCCCACCCAACAAGAGACCCTCAGCAATGTGCGCACGGATGCGGCACAGCGCGACACGGTATACGCCGTAAGTTTCGACACGTCTTGCGACACATACCGCCCACCACCGACTGACGAATTTGTCCTCTGAGCCTCCCTGCGGCAGAGGGTGCGCCAGCATCAGAGCAATAAGGTGTGTCACAGGTTGCGCACGACCTCCCGCACCACGTAGTCACGAGTTGTCGACAGATGCCGCCCAGCGCCTTGGGTTGCGCCATAGGCTGTGCCAGACACCGCACGCCACAGAATCACGAGTTGATCCCCTCTGTCCTTCTGCGTCACGGACTGTGCCATGATGTTCACGGGTTGCGCCATAGGTTGGCCCAGGCATCCCGCGCCCCAGAAACACAAGTTGGTCCACGCTGTCCACATGCTTTGCTTTCAACGGTTCTGGAAACACTCGCTGGTTGGAGGATCAGGTTCCCACCTCAGCGCCGCGCGCATTCAGAGTAAAAGTCTGCAAAATCCCCACAAGTAGAGGGTGGCTCTTTTTTCAGCGTGGGATCTCACCTGCGGCTTTGTCAAGCTCATGTTCCGAAACCTGGACCCGTGCAACAGTCACACGGATGCAACATCTTGGATCACAACATACTGTGATCCAAAATGAACCAGTGCAGGCGGTTCCCTCAGGACGAGAATGATGTCATGATAAGATTGGCTCGGGATACGTTTCAGGATTTTCCGAATCTCCAGCGGCCCTTGATTCTGCAGCCCGCGGAACGTCAGGAGTCCTGAACTCCTGGAAATGGGGCGTATCTATATCATGACCTCTTGCTCCTCCGATCCCCGATCACCTGGCACGCTTCTCAGACTGTCCGGGCCGACTGTACACCATGAGGAAGTTTCGCCCCCACCACGCAGACACACCTTCCAAGCCTCCTGGGCCCTTCCCAGGCCCCAGTGCCGTCGAAAAACGGCTCCGCTTGAGGCGTCTCTCACACAACTGCCAGGATGCAGGGAGGCGCCTTCCCAAGACACGGAGCCACCGCCTGCATGCCCGACCCAGCAGCACCCATACTTGAAGCGCGCCCTTCCCAGAGTGAAGAAGCACACGCCCTTCCTGGCCGATCACTTGGCCGAGTGTGGCCAGCTGTGCCGATTGTGGCGCTGTGGGACGTGATGTAGCCCGGCGGATGTTCATCGCTGGGCGAGCTCCAGGAGCTAATCTGTGGTGTTCTTGGTCAAGCAGCCCCTGATTTGTTTCATTATCACGCTTTCACTGACTTCTCGCCCGGCGTCTAAACTAGCAGGGCCCACTAGCCTCGACAACAGAAGCAGAAGACATGAGGGAAACTGTTCATGCAGACAGTCGTCGATCGGTGGTTTAATCACGCTGAGATTCGTAATGCTCACATCCTGTGCGAAGAGCCACGGCAAAGTTGACAGCCTCAGGCCTCAAACATTTCCTTGGTTTCAGCTTTGATTTAATGTGTTGTCGATGTGCTCCTGAACGAACTGAACTTGGCAGGTAGTCGAAGTGCAAGCGTCCGTACAACGATCCAACCGTCGATCGTGTCGTCCCAAGCAATCACATGCACGCCCTCTTCCACGGCACGTTTGAGGCAAACGTGCAGAGACCTGGAAAGGGATATTGAACGCGAGCGTGTGTTGCAGCAACGTTGAAGCATCCTGATTTGACTCTCACCATCATTGCGTTCTCTTCACTGCCTCCGCATCCCTCTGCCCTCATCCTCGTCCGTTCCATCCTCCTCCTCCTTTTCATCCTCCTCCTCCTCCTCCTCCTCCGCCTCCTCCTCCTCCTCCTCCTATTCCTCCTCCTCCTCCTCCTCAGGCCGTGCCCCACCCTCCTACTCATCCCTCTTGCCTCCTCCTGCTCCCTTCTGTCCAGCCCGCACCCACGGGGCCTCCAACGAGCTCCTGCTGCCTGTCCACCGTTGCCGAGGCGTGCCCCGCACAGGACCGGAACGCCCTGGACGGGGGGCGCGGCTCTCCGGGCAAGGGAGGTAGGACGAAGGTAACGACGTCGACGGCGACGACGACGGTAATCCTAACCGGACCCCCCCCCACCCACAGGCTCCCGGCTGGCAATTAAGCTCGTCCTTCCCCTCCTCGTCCTTCCCCTCATCAGCATCGTCATCAATCATCAGCATTATCAGCATCATCATCATCATCATCATCATCATCATCATCATCATCATCATCATCATCATCATCATCATCGTCGTCGTCGTCGTCGTCGTCGTCGTCATCATCATCATCACCAACATCACCATCACCATCACCATCACCATCACCATCACCATCACCATCACCATCACCATCACCAACGCAATCATCATCATCGTGGGCAACCCGACCCAGAAGCTTCGCGCACGGAATGGCCGACGAGGCCGCGCTCAAGGCCCCAGGAAGACTCCCAGGTTCTTGTCAATGCCACAAGCTGAACATTAGACACATGAATCCCACGCGGTTTGAAGGCCCCAACTAGCGCGCTTATCACTACGCCCAGGAACCACCTTGACACGCCTCACGAGGTTAAGGCACAGCCCGGTCACCTGATATCCGACGTCGTGAAGAATCACGGCCCGCGCTTGCTGCATCATCCATGCGAGGGTATCAGCGAGCGAGATAGTGGCATCAGGAGAGGCAACGCACACGTCATCGGCGAAAGAATACAAGGCTGCAGGATGGAGGGCAGTCCTTCCCTCCCTCCAGGGCTCTGCCACCAGTACCAATGGCCAGAACACAAGACACCCCTTCAAGTGACCACCCTTGCTTCACTCCACGACGAATGGCCCGCCCGGGACATTTCTGTGCACGGCAGCAAAGCCAACCTGAATCTCCGAGTAAGGGTACTTCACGGCTTGGCAGACTATCTCGGGGGTCATCAGGACGCAAATCCCTGGGCCATCCACTCACGCCCATGTGAAGGGCGCGCAGAAGCGATGACCAGGAAGATGGCCCCAGCACGAGGGTACCCCCGCCAAATGCGCCACTCTTGCATCCGCGAATCCGCGCCAACGATGATTGTCCAATACGTCTGTCTCCGCGATGAAGCACCTGGCAGATCTGGGTCAAGGACAGTCCGAGAACCTGGTCTGCTTAGGTCCCAATGCAGTCGACCCGTCACCCTCTACATCTCTCTGAGGAAGAACCACGGCAAGACTCGGCGGTGGACAAACCTCCCTTTAGTAAACCACCCTGTAATGAAAATGGCCTAGGACCAAAACCGACGGACCTGGACCCGCAGAAATGACGGCCGCGACGCCCTCTCGCGAACCGAGAAACGGCCAGTTCGCGAATCGACGTGTCAGGGAAGGAGGCCGATCAACCTCCGAAATACCATGATTGAACCATCGGCAGCTACTGGAAGCTTTTTTTTTGTTTCACAACATGGAAGCTCAACTGAGCACAGAGGGCGCGATGGAGAAAACGAGGGGCCTCGCCGTCGGCATGCTCCCACCCGCTGCCCGGCATCCCCCCCGGGCACCCAAGGTGCGGAGAGCCGCGCTTCGCGAGGCAGGGACTCCGGCAGGCGATGCCGGCCTCGGTAAGCCCTCCAGGCCCAGGAGACAGATCACTGCACCGACCTCGCGGACGTGCTGCAGCTGATTCGTGCGTGGATATGTCTGTCGGTGCAGAACCCCGAGACGGCGAGCGAAAAACGAGGTGAGTTTCACGTGGTCCCGCCCATCACTTGGATCGTTCGGCCCACCATTGAAAATGCGCGGCCCACCACCCGGAGCATTGAGCCCACCACTTGAAAACATCTCACAACCTCTTGGCCTCTTCGGGCGACTACTCTCCTTAGTAGAGGCTCCACGGGTTGCCGAAAGAGTTCTGGGCGGATGAAGAAGAGGAGCCTGCGGTCGACGCCGATGCTTCTTATCTTTGATGGTCTTCTCGATGGTCCCCAGCTTCGCGTCGACTTCGGCAATCGGCACAAGCCTAGGAGGTGAAGGCCGATGCTCATTATCATGTCCATCCAGTTCTTCGTCGTCAGTCATGATGTGGGTAGCCGCATCTGGATGTCCTGAATAGTTCCACACATGCGCCTGCAGTGCCTCTATCTCCTGCCGAGAACGTAAACTCTTCTATGCGATCCTAGGTTCTTGACGTCCTGGAACACTCGCTTCAGATGTTCTTGAAGAAGACTAATCTTGAGCTTCAACGTGCCACCGATGACGGCCAGATCCTCGGCAGGCAGCGGCATAACTAGACACCTACGACGGCTGGAAGTGGAACCGCCGCAGTTTACCCACGACCGCGGGTGCGAGCACGAGACGAAGGCGGGAGCCCAAATCCCGCAGCGAAGGCACTGAAAGGATGCCAGGCTGAACAGCCTTGCCAGCCGCGGATGAGCGGCATCCGCTTCCATCCCCAGGGAAAATGGCATCTTGAGCCAGAATGGCCACGGAGGGGGGAGGGGAAGAGGAGGGGGGGGAGAAGGAGGGGGAGGGGAAGAGGAGGAGGGGGGAGAGGAAGAGGAGGAGGGGGGGAAGAGGAGGGGGGAGGGGAAGAGGAGGGGGGGGGAGAAGGAGGGGGGAAGGACGGAAGGGGTGCAGGAAGACGCTCATGGCTGGGGCCGCCTGTAGAGCTCCTCCACCGGATTGGTGGCCGCCATCCTGGCGGACGCGGCGACGTCCTGGGAGAGCAGGGCACGGCTCCGAGAGCCCAGCTATCCAACCGCGTGCTCCCTCCAGTCCCGCCCTTTCTTCCTGCATTTCGGCCTCGGGGCCCGTGAGCGGGCCCCCGGGCCCTGAAAAGTTCAACCCACACTAAAAAAAAACCTATCCTCGCGGCAGGGGGGCCCCCGACCCCACGAACGGACGAGGTCACGTCGTCGGTCGGATGACTGGGAGCAGCGGGGGGGGAAGAGCGAGAGGTCTGGGTGGGAGGGCGCGCTGCGGGGGCGCGAAGCCTCGGCCATGCGACGCTCCGAGACGGGCCGAGACGAGCTCCCCTTTCTACCCCCCGTCCCCTCTTCGCGCGTCGGGCGAGGTGCTGCGGAGGCTCGGGGGGCCCGCGGATGGTTCGAGAGCGCTGGGGAAGCGCCAGGAGTCGGAGCGTCAGGCGTGGGAGCAGTGCTGTAGCAGGCTCAGTTTGAGCAGCAGCGCCAGCAGCTGCAGTGGCAACAATCACAGGAAGTTCCGATGTTTTCTCTCGCGCGGTAGGCGCCAGCGCTGCAGCTCCGTGGGGGCGGGCGGACTCGCGGATGAGGCCCACGGGGGCGGGGCGGGGACACGGGCTGGGGGGGAGAAAGATGGTGGCGGCAGCAGTGGCGATGGTGATGGTGATGGTTCCTACTCCGTCGACGAATGCGCCACGCACTCCGTGGCGCCCTCGGCATCCTGAAACAACACGCGGAGCGAGAAACTGACAATAGCAAAAAGAATGGCGAAGGCACCCACGGGCTGGCAGACGCAAGACCTTGACAGCGCATCCAACACGAGCCGAACACGTTCAGGCTGAGACACAGAGACAGGCACGGTCCTGCACATCAAAACCACCGGCGACTCGACGCCCAACGAAGCCCCTTCGGGCTGCTAGCCTCACGGTGGACTCGAAGGCCTCCGAGGACTGCACACGCTTGCCAGAGTCATGACTAGAGAACGTCGCCTGTGAGGAGATCACTGGCAGGCGTGGCCTTCCTGGACGAGACCTGGAGCTGACGAGGCCGCACCTGCGCAGCGACCCCGTCCTCCTCCTCCCCCTTCTCCTCCTCCTCCCCCTCCTCCTCCTCCTCCTCCTCCTCCTCCTCCTCCCTCTCCTCCTCCTCCTCCTCCTCCTCTTCCTCCTCCCCCTCCCCCTGGACGAGACCTGGAGCTGACGAGGCCCGCATGTCTCCATGGGGCCCGCCCCGGCCCGCGCGCGTGCCCCCCGCCGTGCGGGCCGCGCGGGCCGAGACGGGGCCACTGGAGATCGCGCGACGCCCGCGCGCCGCAGCGGGACGGGCAGGGCCTGGAGTCGGGAGGGGGGCCCCAGCAGGGAGGAGGAGGAGGAGGAGGAGGAGGAGGAGGAGGAGGGGAGGAGGAAGGGGGGGAAAGGGAGGAGGAAAGAGGAGAGGAGGAGGAGGAGGAGGAGGAGGAGGAGGAGGAAGGGGAGGAGGAGGAGGAGGAGGGAGGAGGAGGAGGAGGAGGAGGAGGAGGAGCAGGGACGGCCGTGGCGGACACGGCGGCGCGGCCGCACCCCTCGAGGGCCGGGCGCTCTGCCCCGAGCCGCCTGCTCCCCCGCAGGCGGCGCGGGGCGAGGCGGGGCCAGGGCTCGCTCGAGAGAGCGGGGCCGGGGACGGGGCCCGAGAGCTCCTCGGCGCCCCGCACCTGCGCAGCGACCCCCTCCTCCTACCCCTCCTCCTCCCCCTCCTCCCCCCCCCTCCTCTCATCCTCCTCCATCCTACTCCTCCCACCCCTCCTCCCCTCCTTCCCCCCCTCCTCCTCCTCCCTCCCCCTCTCCTCCTCCTCCTCCTCCTCCTCCTCCTCCTCCTCCTCCTCCTCCTCCTCCTCCTCCTCCAAGGGGTTCGATGGAGGCCACGAGGGGGCAAGCGCCACGGCGGCGCCCTCCACCTCGCCTGGAACACCGGGTCGAGGGGACGGCCCCGGCCGCCATCGACGAGAGCTCCGGCGCGGGCGACGCGGGAGCCCCAGACCCAGGGCCGTCAGCACTCAACAAGAGCCCGAGGGCAGGCGGCGCGGCGGCCAGGTGCCTGCGCTTGATGGACCCCTGAAGGAAGCGCGCACCCGACACCCAAGCCGAGGGGCTTCCTGTCCGATCAACGCACGCAGACACTTCATGCCACAGCGCCGCGATGCGGGTCATACAGCGTTCGGGCAAAGTAGGGAAAGCAGTAGACCAGCAGTTCGTCCACCTGCACAATGAGAAAAGCAGAAGAGCGCGGGCGCGACGGAGAGGACGATGAGCTTCGCGTGCGGCGCTGGCGGCCTCAGGAGGCTCACTTCACACGAACACACACCAGCTACACGCCGATCCAACCGAAGCGAGCTCAAAAGCCGGCAGCGCCGCCACACGCAGGCGTGCTGCTCTCGCCGCCGTGGCCTCCTGCCGGCCCTAGCAGAGCGTACTCGGAGCGAGCCCCCTCTTCAGGCGAGTGGGGGGCCTCAGTGGCAGCAGCAGCGACGCGGTGAGGCCGATCGCCCTGGCCGATGGCCAAAGCCGGTTGATGGGCCCAGACAGGGTATGGCATCTCCGACCGCCTCGCCGAAATCCATCGCCACCCCTGGCCCGTGAGCGCAAAGGATCCGCCGTGGCACATCCGGTGGAAGGCCTGCTCTGGACCAGTGAAGACCCTCGTTGGGAGCGAGGGCGCAGGAGCGGCAGAACAGAGGCCCAGGTGAGGCGGAGCGAGCTCACGGGGCGCAGAACTTGCCGCACGCTCAGCGAGGAATCGCGAGCACGCCGCGCCTCGCGGCCAGACGCCCTCCTGCACGCGGCTGTGGCGGAGGCCGTGGGGCACAGGGGCACAGGATCCGCCGCCCACGGGCTCGGACGCTCGGCGCGGGCGGGCGCAGGGCGGTCGCTGCCACCACGCCGTCCTCCAGGGCGACCCACTGCCTGACGGTCTGGGACGCAGACGCCCGAGCCATCGCCGAGTTGAGGGCGACCGGTCAGCACGGCTCCTCCTCGATCCTTTTCCGCCTCGATCCTCCTCCTCCTCCTCCTCCTCCTCCTCCTCCTCCTCCTCCTCCTCCTCCTCCTCCTCCTCCTCCTCCTCCTCCTCCTCCTCGATCCTTCTCCGCCTCGATCCTCCTCCTCTCTCAAGGGCCCTGCAGGAGCCCTGCCTTGACGAGGGCGAGCAGCTCGCGCGGCACCCCGTGCTCGGCATGGCGCAGCGGCGCCGCGGCGTCGGCCGAGTCCCACCCCTCCCGTGCCCGTCGGCGGCGCCCTGGCGTTGACAGACCAGGGGCGGAGCTCCAGCTGGCCAGATGCCACCTCCTCCTCCTCCTCCTCCTCCCTCCTCCTCCTCCTCCTCCTCCTCCTCCTCCTCCTCCTCCTCCTCCTCCTCCTCCTCACCCGGCTTGCTGAACGAGAGCCAGACGCGCTGCCACACCTCACGAGCAGGCCGACGACAACGAAGGCACCGCCGACGGCTCACCACGCTGGCTGCCACCCGAGAGCTCCCCCCCATGGTTGGTCTTCACCCCCGGCGGCAGCACCGCCACCTGGAGGGCTTGCACCGCCGCTTCAGCTCCGCTCGCGGCGACGCTCGGATGACGCCAGGCAGCGACCCAAAGGCCACGTGCACCACGATCTGGTTGTTGCTGCGGTCAACGACTGCGCCTCGTTCAACAGACTCGCGCCGAGTTCTGCCAATAGGGGCACGGGGGAACGTGTAATAGTGGTGATCATGTGAAAGTGCACTACCAGAAAAGAGCAGCAGAGGCATCTCCAGGGACGCACACAGCAGGAGCACATCGAAGCAGCACGGGCAGCAGAAGCAGCACACGTCGCAGCAGCAGCAGCAGCAGCAGCAGCAGCACTGAGAGCAGCAGCAGCGGCAGCGTCAGCGGCAGGGGCGGCCGCGGCAGCTCCAGCGACTCCCCGGCGGAGGTGAGCGCGGCAGGCCCCGCCAGGGGGTCTCCCTCGGGGCCGGCGCCCAGTCTGGGGGTCCTTGCGGGCGCTCGCGGGGGGGGGTATGTAGCCGGGCGGGCCACGAAGAATGGAAGGCCGTGTGCCGAAAGAAGATGCTCAACTCTACCGACCCGACCACCGCTACCACCACCATCATCATCACCACGACCACTGCTTTTGCCACCACCACCACCACCATCACCAATACTACTGCCACCAGGGCTACGAGTAATAGCACGAAGAACAACACCACTACTAGATCCTTCGCAGTCCCCTGGATTACTATCCGATTGCTACACGCCACTGTAATTACTTAAAGGGACAAGGGGAAGGCACCCATTTTCCTGGTGGCAAAATCAGTGTTCAGCGTGCTTTGCAGGGATTCCACCCTGGCTCCGCAAGGGGGCTCAGTAGGGCGGGAGAAGGAAAAGGCAAAGCCCGAGCCCAGAGGGACTGCGGAAGGGGGAGGAGAGGAAAGGCAAAGAGGTGTCCGCTCAAAACAACCAACCCTGGGGTTACACCCCAAGCAAATCAGACTGTCACACAATACCGTAATTACGTAACTCACCTTCCTGGTGGCAAAATCGGTGTGCAGCATGCTTTGCAGGCATTCCCCCCACCAGTTTCTTTGGTGACCCCTTCCAAGATCCCACCGTCTCTGAACGCCTCCCAGTCGGGTTGGGCCAGCTGACAGCCCAGGGAGGTTGCTGAAAGGGACCGCCAGGTGACCTACAAAAACCTCGTGAGGAGGACACACCCGGGGTCCGCAGCGCCTGCACCTAGCCCGCGGGGTCGGGGTGGGGTGACCCGCCAACGGGGGCCGGCGGACAAACAATGAAATGGCCTGGCCAGTCGTCCCGCTCATTTCTCCTCCTCGCCATCCCCCTCCTTCCCCGCTGCTCTCCTCCTCCCCATCATCATCGTCATGATCATCATCATCATCATCATCATCATCATCATCATCATCATCATCAGCAGCAGCAGCAGCAGCAGCAGCAGCATCATCATCATCATCATCATCATCATCATCATCATCATCATCATCATCATCAGCACCATCAACATCATCATCATCATCAGCATCATCAACATCATCAGCAGCATTATCATCATCGTCATCATCATCATCATCATCATCATCATCATCACCATCATCATCATCATCATCATCATCATGACCATCACCATCACCATCACCATCATCAGCATCATCGTCAATATCAGCATCAGCATCAGCATCATCATCAGCATCCGCAGCATCATCATCAGCATCATCAGCAGCAGCATCATCAACAGCATCATCATCAGCAGCAGCATCATCCTTGTCATCATCACCACCACCACCACCACCACCACCACATCATCATCATCATCATCATCATCATCATCAGCATCAGCATCAGCATCATCATCATCATCATCATCATCATCATCATCATCATCATCATCATCATCATCATCATCATCATCATCATCATCATCATCATCATCATCATCATCATCATCATCATCATCATCATCATCATCATCATCATCATCATCATCATCAGGCACCTCCTCTCCTCCTCCTCCTCCCTCCTCCCTCCCTCCCTCCATACCTCCTCCCTCCCTCCCCCGCCCGCCCTCCCCCCCCCTCATTCCTTCCTTCCTTCCTGCTTCTCCTCCTACTCCTCCTCCTCCTCCTCCTCCTCTCCTCCTCCCCCTCCTCCTCCTCCTCCTCCCTCCTCCTCCCCTCCTCCTCCTCCTCCTCCTCCTCCTCCTCCTCCTCCTCCTCCTCCTCCTCCCCCTCCTCCTCCTCATCCTCCTCCTCCCCCTTCTCTTCCCTTCATCCAAGCAGTAATCCCACATATCGTTGACGCTGCGGTTGCTACTGCCGCCGCTGCCAGCTCGTTGGTAACCGCAAAGCCTGGCAGCCACAAGCCTGGGCGTGAGAGGCGTCGGCCTCACCCAAAACGCCGCGCCGAGCGCGAGCGAGCCGAGCCGCGCGGCGAGTGCGCCGAGCGCCGGCTCGGAGGCTCTTAGCAACGGAGGGCAGCATACAGTCTGCCACCGCGCCCTCGAGGCACGAGCTCGAGTGTCCTCAGGTCGCCGATCGTGGGCTCGGAGGTTCTTATCAACGGAGAGCAGCATACAACCTGCCACCGCGCCCTTGAGGCACGAGCTCGAGTGTCCTCGGGTCGCTTGCTCCATCCCCGGGAGCCTCAGTCCTCCATCCCGAGGGTTCTCTGTTTAGACCCGGACCCCAAGCTCAGAAACCTCTCTCGGGGCCTGTCGCGCGGCTCCCAGGGCTTGTCGCGTGAGCTGTTGGAGCCCACGAGGGACCCGAGACGGGCCAGGGGTGCCCCAAGAGGCCCTCAAGATGGCCCCGGAGGGCCCCGAATCGCGGAACGATCGGTCAAAGACGCCCGAGATGGCTTCCCGTCGGCCGAAGCAGCGCCCAAGAGGCCTCCAAAAGCCTTCCCAGGAGGGCCCCGAGAGGCAAAGGCCATTGATTTCCCATCGGCTGTTCAATGTGGTTTGGCCCTCCACTTTTCCGGCTTCGGACGCTCCCAGACCTCCCAAGAGGCCGCGAAGACCGCCCCAAGACGGCCCCAAGAGCCCCCAGGAGGGCCCCAGGACGGCCTGAGAGGGCCCCAAGACGACCCAAGAGGCGTCCAAGACGCCCCGAGAGGGCCCCAAGACAGCCCCCAGAGGGGGGCCCAGGAGGGGAGCGCGAACCGAAAATCCAAGCCTTCCGCGAGCACGGGAGGCCAAGAAGCCCCCAGGAGGCCCCAGAAGGCCCCCACGAGGCCCCCACGAGGCCCCCACGAGGCCCAACGAGGCCCCAAAACAGCCCCATAGAGGCTTCGAAACTTCCTCAAGAAGGCCCCCGAGAGGCCTCGACGAGTTCCCAACGCACATCCAAAGGTCTCAGGCCCACAAATCAGGCACGGTGGCGGGATGGCCCGACAGACGCTCGATCCGCCGCCCCGTGTTGGCTTGCCTCAGGGGTGCCCGGCGTGCTCGACGCTTTCGGTTTTGGTTTCGGCTCTTTTCCAAAAGAACTCCCCCAGGGCACTTCGGCCCATCCCGCCGGCCCCCCGAAAGGGATCTCAATCCCCGAAAAATCCCCCAAAACGGCTCAAGATGGCCTCCAAGATGGCCACGTTGGCCAAAGATGGTCTCCAAGATGGTCCAAGATGGCCACCAAGTTCGCCCAAGATGGTCCAACAGGGCCTCCAAGACGTCCCAAGAGAGTCCAAGATACCTCCAAGTTCGCCCAAGAAGCCTCCAAGACGGCCCAACACGACCCAAGAGGCCTCCAAGAGGTCCTCCAGGAGGACCCGAAGAGGCCAAAATCATTGATTTTCCTGAATTGTTTGAAGGATTTTGACATTTGTTTCTTCTTGGCATTCCGACGGCTCAAGACGGCTCAAGAGGCCCCCAAAATCGCCCCAAGACCGCCCGAGGCCTCCAAGATGGCCACATGACGGCCAAAGAGGCCACCAAGACGGCCCCAAGAGGGCCCCAAGAGGCCTCCAAGACGGTCACGATCGCCTCCAAGACGGCTAAGATGACCCCAAGATGCCTCCAAGACGGCCAAAGATGCATCCAAGACGGCCTAAGATGGCCTCGATATTGCCGAAGACGGCCCAAGAGGCCCCCAAGAGGCTCCAAGACGACCCACGAGGCCTCCAAGAGGTCCTCCAGGACAGCCCGAAAAGACCAAAATCATTGATTTTCCTGAATGTGTTGAAGGATTTTGACATTTGTTTCTTCTCGGCACTCCGACGGCTGAAGACGGCCCAAGCGGCACCCAAGATCGCCCCAAGATCGCCCACGAGGCCTCCAAGATGGTCCCATGACGGCCCAAGAGGCCCCCGGACGGTCCCAAGAGGCCCCCAAGAGGCCTTCAAGACGGCCAAGGTGGCCTCCAAGACGGCCAAAATGGCCCCGAGATGCCTCCAAGACGGCCCAAGATGCATCGAAGACGGCCAAAGACGGCCCAAGAGGCCCCCAAGAGGCGCCCAAGACGGCCCAAGAGGCCTCCAAGAGGTCGTCCAGGAGGGCCCGAAGAGACTAAAATCATTGCTTGTCCTTAGGCTTTTAAAGGATTCTGGCATTTGCTTATTCTCGGCATTCCGACGGCTCAAGACGGCCCAAGAGGCCCCCAAGATCGCCCCAAGATCGCCCACGAGGCCTCCAAGATGGCCCCAAGCCCCCAAGACGGCCCCAAGAGGGTCCCAAAACGGCCCAAGAGGCGTCCAAGACGCCCAAGATGGCCTCGAAGACGGCCCTGAAATGCGCCAAGAGGGCCTCAAGACGACCCAGACAGGCCCCATGACGGCTTCCGACGGCGTCAGACAAGCCAGGAGCGCCCTAAGACGGCTAAAGAAACCCCCAAGAAGCCCCCAAAGGCCCCCAGCAGGCCCAAGAAGGCCCCACAGAGACCTCCAAAAGGCCCCCAGCAAGCTCCTAGGAGGCCCCAAAAGTGCCCCAAGAGGCGCCCAAGAGACTTCCTCCTCCTCCTCCTCCTCCTCCTCCTCCTCCTCCTCCCCCTCCTCCTCCTCCTCCTCCTCCTCCTCCTCCTCCTCCTCCTCCTCCTCCTCCTCCTCCTCCTCCTCCTCCTCCTCCTCTTTCCTGATCCTCCCCCTCCTCCACTTCTTGCTCCCCCACGCGTTCCCCGAAGTCTTTCCAAGCCGACTCTGGGAACAACTGGCCCGATAGCTTGGCCAAGCTCTCGCCCAACTCTCGGCCACATAGGCGTTTTCCGCGGCCCCCTGTTGATTCATCACAGGGGTGCCTGGCGTGCTCAATCCTTTCGCTTTTGGTTTTGGTTCTTTTCCCAACAGAACTCCCCCTGGCGCTTCGGCCCGTCCCGCCGGCCATCCGAAAGGGAGCTCCAGGAGCTCAATCCCGGAAAAATCCCCCAAGACGTCTCAAGATGGCCTCCAAGATGCTCCAAGTCTGCCCAAGATGGTCCAAGATGGTCTCCGAGATGGCCCGAGAGAGTCCAAGATGCCTCCAGTTCGTCCAAGAAGCCTCCAAGACGACAAGATCGCCCAGGAGCCCTTCAAGATGTCCTCATGACAGCTCCAGAGGCCTCCAAGACGGTCCCAAGATGGCCCAATCGAACCCAAAAGTGCCTCAAGAGGCTCCGAAGAGGCATCCTCTCCCTTCTCCTTTTTCCTCCTTCTCCTCCTCTTCCTCTTCCTCGTCCTCCCCCACGTGTTCCCCGAAGGCTTTCCAAACCGACTCGGGGAACACATGGTCCGATAGCTTCGCCCCCCAAGATGCCTCCAAGACGGCCCAAGACACCTCCAAGACGGCCCAACATGGCGTCAATGTTGCCCAAGACGGCCCAAGAGGCCCCCAAGAAGCCCCAAGAATCCCCGAGATAGCCCAAACATGGCTTCCAATACAGTCCCAAGATGCCTCCAAGACCGCAAAGATGGCCCAATTCGCCGGCCCAACGGGCCAGGGCGTGCTAAGATCTCCGGTACCTGGTTAACAGTATTTCTAGTTCGCGCGCGCGGGGCGGCCCCTGGGGGTCCCCGGGCGAAAAGTACCCCGGCAAGGTCCCGGCAAGTCCCCGGCAAGTCCCTGGCAAGGTCGGGTCAGAGATGCCGGAGTTCTGTTTCGGAGTCCAAGAGGGCTCCAGATCGGTCCAAGAGGGCCCCGAGAAGCTTTCTAGACGGTCCAAGAGAGGCCCGAGACGGCCAAAGATCGCCCGAAGACGCCCCAGATGGCCCCAAGACAGCCCAAGAGGCCTCCAAGACGCTCCAAGGGCCTTCCAAGAGGCCTCCGAAGAGGGCCCCAAGTTGCCAAAATCGTTGATTTTCATTGGTTTTTTCAATGTTTTTTTGCGTTCTGGCCTTTTCGCTTCCGGACGCTCCAAGAGGGCCCAAGAGGCCTTCAAGACTGCTCCAAGACGGCCCACGAGGCTCCCAAGACGGCCCCGGAGCGGCCCAAGAGCGCCCCCCAGACGGCCCAAGTGCTGCCCAAGGCGGACCAAGAGGCCCCAAGACGGGCCCAAGAGGGGCTCAAGAAGGGAACCGAGAACTGAAAAATCGAGCCCTCCGCCCCAGAAGGCGCCCAGGACCCCGAAAGAGGCCCCAAGAGACTCTCCAAGACACCCCCAAGACGCCCCAATAAGCTCCCGTGAGGCCCCAAGAGGACCAACAACGTCAGGCCCCAGGCCCCAAGAGGACCAACAAATACCGCCAAGAGCCCGCCGAAAGCCCCCCAAGAGACCGTCACGAGAGCTCAGGAGGCCCCCTGGAGGCCTCCCGAGTTCTCCAAGAGGCCTAAAAAGAGGCGCCAAGAGGCCCCAAACGGCCCCACCGAGGCTCCAAGAGGCCACGAACGCGCAAGCAAACGCCTGCGATGGCACAATACGGGCCGGCGGAATGAGCGAAGCGATTAATAAAACCCTAGAGTAGCCCAAAAGGCTCCCAAGAGGCATCCTCCTCCCTTCTCCTTCTTCCTCCCTCTCCTCCCCTTCCTCCTCCCCCACCGTGTTTCCCGAACGCCTTCCAAACCGATTCGGGGAACACATGGTCCGATAGCTTGGCAGGCCTCTGGCCACAACGTTCGGCCACATAGGCGCTTCCAAAAGGGAAGGGGGCGGCGGTGATTCGCCGTAGGCGTGTTCGATCCGCCGCCCCATGTGGTCTTGCCACAGGGATGCCTGGCGTAAAATCAGCTTGTTCTTTTCCCAAAGAACTCCCCCTTGGGGCTTCGGCCGTTGCCGCCGGCCACCCGGAAGGCTTGCCCAGAAATTGTTGCAAACGTTGTTCCCGCTCCAGATGGCTCCAAGATGGCCCAAGATGGCATCCAAGACGGCCAAGATGGTCCTCAATTTCGTCCGAGATGATCCAAGATGGCCTTCAAGACGGCCCCAGAGCATCCAGGATGCCTCCAAGTTTGCCCAAGAAGCCTCCAAGACGGCCCAAGAAGGCCTCAAGATGGCCCAAGACGGCCCACGAGGCCCACAAGAGGCCTCCAAGACGGCTAAGAGGCTTCCAAGAGGTCCTCCAGGAAGGCCCAAAAAAGACAAAATCATTGCTTTCCCCCTGGCTTTGAAGGATGTTGGCAAATGCCTTTTTGCGGCCTTCCTAGGGCCCGAGACGGCCTGAGAGCCCCCAAAAATCGCCCCAAGATGGACCCCTCAAGAGGCCCCCGAGACAGCCCCAAGAGGGTCCCAAGACGGCCCAAGAGGCCTCCAAGACGCCCACAACCCGACCTAGGAGCACCCCAAGAGGGCCCCAGGTCGGCCCAGAGATGCCCCCAAGACAGCTTCCGACGGCGTCATGAACGCCCTAAGACGGGCAAAGAGGCCCCCGAGAAACCTCCAAAGGCCCTCAAGAGGCCCAAGGAGGCCCCCAAGATGCCTCCAAGAGGCTCCCAGGAAGCTCTCAGGAGGCCCCAAGAGTGCGAGGCTCCCAAACGCCCCCTTTTCTTCCTTGTCCTCCTCCTCGTCCTCCTCCTCCTCCTCCTCCTCCTCCTCCTCCTCCTCCTCCTCCATTTCCTCCTCCTTCTCCTCCCCCCCCCTCCAACTCCTCCTGATCTTCCCCGCCATCCTCCCCCAAGTGTTCCCCGAAGGGTTTCCACAACGGTTGGGGGGAACAAATGGCCCGATAGCTTGGCAGAGCTCCTGTCACAACGCTCGGCCACATGGGCAACTCCAAAAGGCAGGGGGCGGCGGTGATTCGCGGTAGGCGTCTTCGAAAATCTTTTTCCACCACGCACAATCGCTCGACCACGCAAGATCTTTTCACGACGTGGGCCCCTAGACCTCTCGACCCCACCCCGCGCGTTGGCTTCTCATCCCAGGACGCTGTTTGACAGTCCACGGGTCCCGAAGCGGACCTTTGAACGCCAAGGCTCAGGGAAAGCAAACGGTCCCGATGCTGTCGTGACGCCAGCGATCTGCGCCATGCTCTGAAAATCATCCCTTTGACCTCGTCCAGGGTTCAGCCCGCCCCGCCCAGGAGCCCACGGGGAGCAGGCGAGCACGTCGGAGCTTGGCCGGTGCAGGCAGGATTTCTGAAATGTGCGCGGGGGGCTCTCATGACTTGACGAGCGCCTGCAGCCAATGAAGCCTTGCGGGGGTGTCTGACACCATGTCGTCGACTGGACGCGCAGGACTAGTGCGACCAAATGGCTCTAAACCAAACTGGGCGGGGACGGTTTCAAAAAAACTAGCTGGTCATCGCCTGGGTCGCTGTGGCTCCGGCCTGGCGGCCTCGACGACGGCGACGGCGGCGGCGACGACGACGACAACGACGACGACGACGACGAAGACGACAACGACGACAAGGACGACGACGGAGACGACAACGACAACGACGACGAAGACGACAACGACGACGACAAAGACAAAGACAAACACAAAGACAAAGACAAAGACAAAGTTAAAGACAAAGACAAACACAAATACGACGACGCCGCCGCCGCCGCCGCCGCCGCCGACGACGACGACGACGACGACGACGACGACGACGACGACGAACCGGTTTAAGCGTCTCCTTCCGAGTGGGGCGCTGCGAACCCCCCCCCCAGGCAGTTCTGCATCGCCTGGTCGCACCAAGGCTGCGCAGGCGACCGCAGAGAGGCAGACGACCCCACGCTGCGACCCTCCTGGGGCGGTCGTCGGCGCCGACCACGCCGGGAGCGCAGGCCTGGCCGCGGCCGTCTGGCGACGCCATGCGCCGAACGGCGCCCCCCACCAGCGACGGCACCTCAGCTCCGGGCGCCCGGAAAAAAAAAACCCAAAAAACTGCTGGCGATCGAGGACTGGGCGGCGGCGTGTCTGCTGGGGCGCAGGGGGACCCCACCAGCACCGCGCGCCCCTCCTCTTGGAGGCACACGTCCGAGCCGACCGCGCAGCGCAAGCATCTTATAGTGTCTGCCACTGTGCCCCCTGGCGCGTTGAGGCGTGCCAGAAGGCCAAATGCTGTCTGGCACGGTTTCTGCAATCATCTCTAAGGGACCCCCTCTGGGCCGCACCTCGCCGCGCGCATTGCCCCTTCTTCCCGAAGCCCTGTCGGCGCCCAGGTACGTCCTTGGCGGCTTCCATGGTGTCCAAAATCCCCCAGATGGTTTCCCAAAAAGACCCGGGAGGCCACCAAGGCCGCAAAGACAGTCCAAGATGCCTTCAAGGCAGCCGAAGATAGGCCCAAGAAGCCCCGAGAGCGCTCCAAGAGGACCCCCGCGATGACCCCCAAAGGCAAAATTCAGTGGTTTGCACTGTGCTTCTCTATGTTTTCACGCTATCGCCTTTTCAAGTTTCCGTCGCTCCAAGACGGCCCCAAGGGCCCCCAAGACAGCCCAAGAGAGCCCCAAAACGGCCCAAGAGGCGCCCAAATCACCCCAAGAGAGCCCCAAGACAACCCCAACAGGGGCCAAAGAGGGAAAACGCGAACCGACAACTCCAGCCCTCCGCCCGGAGAGGCCCCCAGGAGACCCCAAGAGGCCCCGACGGAGCTCCGAAGGGCCCCCAAGAAGCCTCCAAGAGGCAGCCAGACGGTTCCCAAGAGGCCTCCAAACTGCCTCCATCAAGCCACCACGGACCCCCACAAGATCCCGATGATCCTCATTATCGTCGTCATCATCAACGACATCAGCATCATCATCATCACCACCACCACCATCATCATCATCATCATCATCATCATCATCATCATCATCATCATCACCATCATCATCATCATCATCATCATCAGCAGCAGCAGCAGCAGCATCAGCATGATCATCATCATAATCATCATCATCCTCAACATCATCAGCAGCATCATTAGCATCACAATCATCACCAGCAACGTCATTATCCGCATTGTCATCATCAGCATCCTCATCGCCATCACCATCGTCATCGTCATCGTCATCGTCAGCGACATCATCAGCAGCAGCAGCATCAGCACCATCGCCAGCGTCATCACCATCATCAGCATCAGAATCAGCATCAGCATCAGCATCATACTTGCCGTCGTCATTACCACTCGCACCATCATAATCATAAGTTCCGACGCTCGTTTTCCAAAGAGCCCAATGCGCGAAGCTTGCAAGCAAAAGCTGGTCAAAGGGCGGCGTGCCCACATGATCTCCGACGCCCGTTTTCCGGACCACCCCACGTGTGAAGTTTGCGAGAAATACCTGGCTAAAGGACGGCCATGGGCGGAATGCAGCGGCGCTGTCTCTTCCGCGCCGCCTCACAGAGACCCAGGAGGCAGAGAGCTCTCAACCTGTTCCAACTTCACCACCCCTGCCACGCGCTTGATATGCGTCTTACCCCCCCGGCGCGCCAGTGACACAGTCACCCACCGGCCCACGCATCTCGGGCGAATCGAGCAAGCTGCTGGACACGTTGTGCGCCATCGGGCGCCCCGTGGGCGAAGGGCAGGGCGGCCGCGCCCATCTGGAGATAGTGATGCACTGATGTTGCATTCCCAACGCCCATGGCATTGCAGCAGTCCCAGGTTCTGGACGAGCAGAAGCGATGGATGACCCCCCCTCCTCGCAGCGACCCAAGGGCGCACGGCGAGTCGCTGATGCCGACGAGGCCCTTGAGCTAGATAACCCGCTGGGTCAGCCCACGCGACTGTCTTGGGAGCAACGCTGACGTCGGGGAAAGGTGACCAAAGACGCGCCCTATCAAGTTCAGCAGCGCAGGATCGTTGATCAGGACGCTCTGGAACTTTGGCCACCGGTCTGATGTTTTAGCAGAGAGCAGCACGAGGACGCCAACGTTGACATCGCCTCCCAGATCCCCAAGCAAGACGAGATGCTGCCCGAGAGCGTTCGCGACCTCGCTGGGCCGCAACAGCGAGTGGAAGGCGAGGAGCAGGCACGCTGCCTCCCCGCCTCATCCCTGCGCATGGTCAGGCACGGCCAGGGCGAGGAGCACTTCGACAGGCATGGGCGCGCGCATCTCGACTCGCTCGAAATTGCGCCTGCGAGCCACCATGGCCCAAGCCGGGCGCACGTGTCTGCGGGTCTGGGGCCAGCAGAACTGGACGCAAACAAAGGTTTCGGAACCCCAAGAACACGGCGCCGCTGCATCGTAGAGGTGCTCAGTGTAGACAACGAAAGTGACGCTGAGCAGCTCGATGTCACGCACGACGTCGCCAGGGCGGGGCAGGCCTCGACTTTGGAGCCACAGGCCACTTGTCGAGCATGATGATGCACCGACGGGCAGTAGACGGCTTCATCGATGCTCGGAGGCCCCGTCCGGCTCGCGAAGTTGGCCGTCGCGAGGGCGCACCCAGGCGCGCGGCAGGGCCCCCTCATGGAATCCCTAGCCAGCTGCAGAAGACCCCCAGGAACATCAGCAGCGCGGCAAGCGGCAACACAAGTCGAGGTGTTCGGCCACTGCGTCGTGCCACACGCTGGAGTGGTCTGCTGCTGCCACCTCCGCCAGACGCCGCCAGACGCCGTCGTCACCAGCCCTCCAGGACGAGGCGCCGGCGGCCACGGTCGCACCGCCTCGCCAGCAAGGGCAGGAACGCCCATCGCCCCCTCCAGGTAGAGCGAGCCCGCGCTGCATGCCTCTTGGAGTTCTGGGAGCGCCTGCAGAAGAGATTGCCGCGGCTGCCCCGACGCCCACAGGGCGCCATCGCGGTCGAGGGCCTTCACGAGAACCAGCCCAGCCTCCACGCAACCGTTGCAAAGAATCTCCCGGGGGCGTCGCCGCAGCCCCCGCGGCCGCCAGCGCGCCCAAGAAGACCACGAGAAGAAGTTCATGAACCGCGAGAAGGTCCCGCAGGGTGGCCCCCGAGCAGGTCACGGCTGACGGCGATCCACCCGCGGCGCTCCAGGGCTACACTCCGCAAGGCCCCCGGCCCGCTGAAGGCGTCGTCGAAGACTGGCAGTCGGCGTCGAAAGACTGAGCGACGCACGTGCACGGTCCAGCCCGAGGGGCTTCTCGGCGGCGGTGATGGACTCCGCTGCCTCCAGCGGACGCGGCCTGGCCTCACGCATCTCAGCACTTCTCGACGGATCGCGCGTTTGTTGGCACTTCGCATCCAAAAGGAAAGGTGGGAACACCCCGCGAACATTTCAAACTGGAGAGCCATGGCAAAGATCCCGCTAAGGATCCTGCTGGACGGTCCTCGGACAGCAAAATTATGCACAACCTGTGAGTCCATGGGCGCTGGAATGCGCCTACCATGCCTGTTCGGGTCTTCGACCGCCCGCTTGACCAGCGATCCGAGGGCAACGGCTTCCTGGACGCCAATATGGCGCCGTCCCGAAAAACTGTAGCTGAGCAGGGTGGTCAGATACTTGGGCCATCTCCAGGGACACAGGAGGGGATCGCCACGCCCCCACACACACACACACACACACAGAACCTCCAGGGGCTCGTCGGGAACTGGGCGCCCCTTTACTTCGAGTCTCCCAGACCGTCTCCTCCAGGCGGGGAGGTGCCGCAGCGACTCCGCCGACAAAGATGGCAGCGTCCGAGGCGCAGACCTGCTCGGGCGCCGCCGAGTCAAGCGAGCTTCTGAACAGGGGGAACAGCAGGACCAGTCCACGCAGCTCGTCAAGCAACCCGCTCGGCAAGCGTCGCCACGCCGCGGGGTCTGCAATGGGCACAGAAAGCCGCGCGTAAAGCTCGTCCACGGGGAACATGGCGACCCAGCGAAAAAAAAACAGGCGTTGAAAACAGCACCCGGCAAGCCCCCTCATGAGAGCGACCGATGCGGCACCAACGAAGACGACGCACGTGATGATCACGACGCGCGGCTTGACTTGCACGACCTCTACACCCACGCCAAGTCGTTCTGGAGAAATCTCGCCCCCCAGGCGACTGCCTGCGGCTGATCCAGGATCGCCTCCTGTTCCCTTCCATTGCTGCCAGACCGATCGCACGTCTGGTGCCCTGGACGGACGCGCCGGAACGCTGCCTGTCGGATCGGGCCCGAAGCAACCGAGGCCATCGCAGAGCCCAATGACCACGCGGTCGTCAAAGTAGACGCCTTCCACGACCACGGCCACGCGAGCGGCGATGTCGGTTAACTGCGACGTTGGGAATCTGATCTTGCGACGGCCAAAACCGCGCAGAACAAAGTGTAGGAAATCACAAACCACAACTTGCCACACGTCAAAGAACAGAAAGAATTGAGCGAAGACGGCACGGCGACTTGTATGAAAACACGAACAGCGCTTGTGCACAGTTCGATTGACTACGAAACACCCCAACCCAGAACACCGAAACCTACATCGCCGTTACCTGCATCATCGTTAGCGCGTCTACGGCGCGACTCGATCCACGGGCGGGGCCAGACCTTAGGCGAGCGACCCCGCGTCGGAGACACCCTGCGGAACGCAGGCCATGCTGAGGATAGTCCACCTCGTGGGAGACCCCGTGCTCCAGCAGCTCGTCGGCCCTGAGCCAAGAACGGCCTCCTGGACCCGGGCGTCCACTGCAAAGAAGGTAGAGAAAGTCTTTGGCATCGTCCGTGGAGGTTGACCAGCGCCCACCCCTCAGGAGGAACAGCTCTGCGAATTGCGAAGCGTGGGGGAGGGTGGCGCGGCGCTCGAGGTAGGCGCGTCGGCTGCAAGGGATCTCTGCGACACGGCACACTCGCAGAAGACCTCCCTCAGGGAGTTCTCGAGGAAGTTGCGCCGCCACCAGTCGATGATTACCCTCGGCCCGGGTCGCCCACCTTGCCCACGCCGGAGAGCCCCGCGCGGACAGGGAAGCCCGCGCGCAATTGGGGCCCTCTGGTCGGGCGAGCCGCAGCAGTCGCGCATCCACGGCGCGCGCCGCCACCGCGGCACTTCAATACGCGCAAGCACCTGGAGGGCAGCTGGCCGGGAAGGCAGCTCGGCTCGAGGTCCACAGCGCGCGGCGCGGAACTCGGGCAGCGCGAAGGGCTCCTGGCGCACGATCGTCGCACCCTTGAATGGGATGCGGAGGTCGTCTGCGGCAAGCGTTGCAAGGTCCACAAAAGGCGCGCCACATCCCCAGAATGAATCGCTCATGAGCCCTGCTAGGGCCCTGTGGATATGCCAGCGATCAGCTGGCATTGCCTCTCGGTCCGGGGCGCGGCGAGGCAGGGTGACGTCGCCACGCCCGCAGGGCGCCCTAGCGAGAGCCTGGACTGATAGGCGACGGACGCGCTGACCCTGCGCCGCCGGCGACTCCCCCGAAGCCACCGCGCACGCCTTTGCGGCGCCCGAGGCGCAGCCGCAGCGTCGACGCGGGCGGGTCGCTTCTGCGGCTCTCGCCCGAAGACCCTCTTGAGCGCCAGGAGACCCACGGCGCCCTTCGCCCCATTGATCCTCACACCAGATCCGCCCCCCTGGGGCTCGAGGCTGCGCCGCCGAAGGGGAGGTTGCCCACGGCGGGCTCGCCCTCCGTGCTCACCTCCCTGGGCCCGCCAACCTCCAGCGCCTGCAACGTTGCGCGCTGGATGACCTTGCCTGCGCCATGCCCGCCTGCCTCGACGAGGGCCCGGAGGTCGAGGTCGACATTCTTCTCTGGAGCCGCGCGGGCGACCTGCCCACGCGGCGGAGCCCCGTCGGCCCGCGGGAGCAGCCCGCGCGCCGCCGCCACGGCTTCATCGGCCGCCCGGGCCTGGACAGTTGCCGGGGCCGGTCGGGGCCCCAGCAGATGCGCCGCCGTCCGAGGAGGGGCAGCGGGCGAGCTCTGGAAGGGGGACTGTCCTGGCACCAGGGAAGCAGGCGCCTGCACGCACGGGGAGGGGCTGCGACAGAAAATCCAGGAATCTCTGGGGGCCAGGGAACCGCCAAAGAGCCTCCCGAGATCAGGAGCTCCAGGGGTCAGCGACTCTCAGGGCTCGAATCACTGGAGGCCTGCCGGCCCACACGAGCCAAACCAGCCCGAGCGAACTCCCGCACCAAATCCCCTTAAATCGGTCCTCGAACCCTTCCAAGAATGGACACAAATCCGTTTGTCACCCTGCCCACAGTAGCGGCAAAAAGGCCGCTCAGGCTTCCCCTGGACCACTGGCCCGACGCAAAGCCAGGCCGGAAGCCGGGCCGGCTCCGCCACCCAGCCGGCTCCAAAGCCCAGCCACTCGACCCCTGCCCCTGCGCCAGGCATTCCTTCATCCTGTTTGCCACCAGCGAGGGGGGGAGCGAGAAGGGGGAGGTTTTCTCTGAAGGCTCGGAAGATCCCTGGCGCGAAAGACCTCTACCAAACGGGAGAAGGCCCGCGCGGGCGCACCAACCGCCCCCCGCCCTTCCCCCGCGCGGAGAGGAAGGGCGCCCGTAGCCATTCTGGCTCAAGCCATTTTGGCTCAAGGTGAATTCTCACTTCTAATGGAGGGGAGGTGGGGCGCCCCTGTCGTCTGGGGGCGGCGGGCGCGGCGGGCCGGCTATGGGCCGGGCGTCTCCGCCCCCGAGCGGTTCAGACCTAGGGGAGCATTGTCTGTCGGCGTCCTGGAGGGGGCGTCGGAAGGGAGCGCTGTCCAGGCGCGCGCTCGGAAAATGTTGCCTTCTGGTGTAGCGCTGTAGCAAATGGGCAGTAATGTGTCTGCTGGAAGGAGCGCGGTAGCAAGCGGAATGGGAGAGAGTGTGTTTGGCTGCTATAGCATCGTATGGGGCGTCTGTGATCTATCTTGCCTGGTCGAACCGGCTCGTCTTTTCCCTCTCCTTTGTTATCCTCTCCCCCTCCCTTCCCCTGCCCTGGCCTCTCTCCTTTCTTTGCGGTTTTCCTCCTCCTCTCCTGTCCCCTCCCCATCCCTCTTCCCCCCCCTTGTCGTTGCATCTTCTATTATGTGTTGTCCCAGGCCCGGCAGCGCAAGCAATCTATGCTGGGCGGCGTTGTGGAGCGCATCGCAAGTCACCTTTGAAAGCCGCAGGGGGGGCTGTCACCCGGCGAGTTGCCGCCAGGGGGGGCGTCGTCTGGAGCTCTACTCAACAAACTCGCTCCTTGCCTGCTCCCCCCCCCTCCCTCCCCCCCCCCTCCTCCTCCGCTTGCCCCCCATTTCTCTTCGCACTCCTCCTCCGCCCCCCTTCTCCCTCCGATATCCTTCTTCCCCTTCCCTCGCCCACCTGATGAACAGCAGGGAGATAAGTTGTTTTCATCGGCAGTGGAGGCAGCATTCAGCTTGAGGCACCCGTCCAACTTTGGGGCGGGTGACCACCAGGGCAGGCGCGTGAGGAAAATCAAAGCTGGGGCTGACTTGCATTGAATTGCTTTGCGTTGCTGGCGCTTCAACTTGGACGTGTCGCTCGTGGAACCTTCTTCCATGGCGTTGGCGCCTGGGTTGCTGACTTTTTGTGAACACTGAGCCCCTGCAGCTGCTTGGCTCTAGCCTCGCGCGCGGCGCGGCTCCAGCAGCGGCCAGGGCGCGCCCCGCAGCACGAGCACGCAGGGCTTCCACCTGCATGACGCCCGGGCCCGACCAAGCGACCAGAAGGCTGCACGACTCGCTGCGGCAGAACGGCTCCGTTCGTTTCTTGTGAAGCTGATGGCTCGTCGGCAGACGCTGCTGGTCGCCTCGTGCGACGAGCCATTGTCATGGGACGAGATTGGCCTCGATGCTGAGATGCCGTGCCTAGTGAGCTAGCTCACTGAACGAAGCTGCTCAAATATGCCATGTTGTCTCGAACCTGCTCTCGGATGTTCTTGCAAAACCAAAGTATTTCGCTAAGAAACAACCGCTTTCGATTCTTTCCGGCGCAGTGAAGGCCAGCTCGCCCGAGCAGTTCGAATTGCCCAGCTCCCCCCAGCAGCTTGCGAGGAGCTTCGCGGAGAGGAGAGGGGGAGTCGCGTCGTCGACGTGGCAGCCAAACGTCGCAAGTTGGGTGAGCAGGTGTATGATACGGCCTTTCAGTGGACAAACGCAGCAGAGACCCAGCAGCGCGACCCTGACACTGGCCACAAGTTGTGTTGAGTTCTTCTACTGATGTCATGGGCGGGTGCGGGATAGGTCGAAAACAGACATCTTCGCCTCGATGTTGGGCGTTCGTGGAGGGGGCGCTTTTTTCGCACAGCATGGAATGATTATTTTCAGCGTTTTCGGAGACAGTGCCCGGGCTGACCAGAAGGGCATCTTGGGTGTCCAGGACACTGTGGTCTTTGGTAAGGGTGCCGAAGGAGTCCTGTCTCTTGTTGGAGGCTTTCTTGGGCATGCGTCTGCTGTCTGGGGATGTATCCTCGAGGGCGCTACAGCAAACACTTCTTGACGAACGCATGCGTTTCTCGGACACCGCTCGCAGGCTGTGCAGGGCAGGGGATACCCCCCTGGTGCCGGAGTGCCTCCACCTCAACAGCCGCGGGGGCTTTACCCGCATTCCTGAGACCTTCGCCGATTTCCTCTGCGAGAGCCGCAAGGCCCTAGAGCAGATCGCGAGGGTAAGCATAAAGAAGCTCCGCCCGGCAACCGTGGCAGCCACGGACTGGGTGAAGGAGCCGTGCCGGGCCCGAGCAGGTGGCGCGTGACTCTGCCTGACGCTGTGGGGCAGCGGCCAGGAAACAACATGGTGCACCCCTGTTGCCCTTTTCCGTCATCATCACTCCTCTCTGTTGCTCTCATTTTGCGTGCCTCGCTTGGATGGGAGATTGTCGCTCTCATCATGTGTGCGTGCTTTTGTAAGAAACGCGCCGTTTCTGTCTGCGTGGCCGTGCCGTGTCGCGTTGTTTGGCTTTTGCCGCGGTGTGCCGTGCCCTCTCTAGGAATATGGTGAGCAATTCCCCCCTTGGTCTGACGAGGCCCCCCCCCGACGGCCCTGCAAACCGCAGGGGCCGTGAATCCAGGCTTTCTCGCTGGCGCATTCCGCCGCCCGCGAACGTGTCGAGCAACTGTCCTGGCGGAGGGAGATAAGCCAGGCTACCCCAGCTTCCCTTCGCTTTCGCATGATGTCTTGCAGGCTAGGGTTTCGTCGATTTGACTTTGTGACCCTACGTGGTGCAATGCCGCTTCCGCTCTCCTGGGCGTGCCGTGTCGTGCTGTTGTGCCTGTGCCGCGTCGTGCCGTGCCCGCGTTCGTTTGCCTTCCTGGTTCCCGCTCTGTCCGTCCGTCCCCTTTTACCGCGCCTTGCCCCGGTAGAGCTAAATTCCCCCCCTGGTCTGACGGCGCGCCCCCCGTCGGCTCTGCAGACCACAAGGGCAGTTCCTGAGTTGAACCCTATTTCCAGGGCCGAACCCGCGTTCTCTGCCGCCCCTCCTCGCCCTTGCGCCCTTCCCTCCCCCTTTCCCCCTTCCCCGCTTGCTCCTGCCCCCCCCCTCCTCCTGCCAGCCTGAATCCCCCCCCCGGACTGAGAGGGGCCAGCTGGGAAGACCAGCCGCCCACAGGGGCAATCCTTTCCTCCCCTCGCCCCGTTCCCCTGCCTTTCTCTTCTCCCTGTCTTGCGTGCGCTGCGCATTTTCTCCCGCTTCTCGTTGCGCTCGCTCGCTTCGAGCGTGTCGCGTGCTTCTCGCGTCTGCACCGCGAGCTCTCTATCGGGCCTGCTGTCCGCCCGCCCTGCAACTGCACGGCGCGCGCGTGGGGGGGGGGGGGGGGGGGGGCACCTCCTCTCGCCAGCAACACCGGTTGTCCAACGGCGGACTCCGGGCGAGTCCGCTGGGGAGGGGGTGAGTCTTTCGTTTCCTGCCTCCAGCTCATCCTGACCCGCCTCAGCCTTCACCCCCCGCGGCCGCGAAAGCTCGAGGCTTGAGGCCGAAAGCCGCCGCCCCCCCCCCCCCCGTGCCCATTTGTGACTCGTGGCCGTGCGGCGCCAACCGCAACGGAAGGCTCCACGACATGGCGCGATCCGGCAGGCGCCGCCGCAGCCCCTCGTCGTCCAGATCGCCTAGCCGCTCGCCTCGCCGCTCGCGGAGGAACCGATCCCCACCATCGCCGCGTGGTCGATCCCGGAGGTCGCGCACCGCGGAGATTCGCTCAGTTGGCCCAGGCGTGCGCGATCGCAGCACATCTTCCCGCGGGAATCGCAACGAGGAGCAGCCGCCGAGCTCGCAGTACCTATCGCCTACGCCCGTGGCAGATGACCCCTGCACACCGCCGCCTGGGAGTTGGCTGATGCCTACCGTTGCCATGACAGCGGGCCAGCCGCGGGTGGATGGTTGCCATTTCAAAGCGACCGCGCCGCCGCCACCGCCGCCCCTGCCGCCTGCAGCGTCATCTGGCGGATCGGTGCCAGCTCCGATCGCCCCGCCCTCGAAACCGCTTGCTGCGCGGCTCACCCCGGCCCCAATCCCCGCGCTGCTCGCGGCGCAGCTCCGTCCCGCTGCGCTAGTAGCGCAGCCCGCAACACAGCCCGCCGTTGCTGGCACGTGGCCTGCACCTGCGTGGCCTGGGGGACCTTGCGGCCACCAGGTGCCGCCGACTCTGCCAGATCCCTCTAGCGGGTTGCACCTCCCGCCCCTTGTGAACCCCATCGCTGGGTGTGCCCTGCAGGCCCCAACGCCCCTGGGTGGCTCCGTGAGGCAACCTGCCCAGCGCACCCCTGAGGCGCTTTCTCCGCCACACAGCGGCCGCCTGGCGCCCAAGTCGCCCTCCCCAGGCCCACCAACGAAGAGCCCGCCGCCGCTTCCAGCTGGCTGGGAGTCCCTGCGGGACATGGCTGGCCACCTCTACTTCCTCAACCGGAGGTCG